CTATAAGCATATAGAAATGTTCAGGTAGAGGAAAAAATTAGATAATCACTAGAGATAAAAGTTTGACTATTATCAAGACAATAAGAAAAAGGAATTGTATATTGAATTGGTCAGTTCAGATGTAGTCAATACAACTACTGCTAGCATTGTTAGATTAGGTAAAGTGTTTGTTGTTAAAGTGAGCTTAATATTATATATATTAGATTTTTAAGAAAGTTAATAAGTTTATATTTAGAAGGAAAACTGTGAATATTGTTCTATATATTAAAATCACTAAGAATAATGTAATGAATATAAAGTTAAAAGGCTTGTTAAATCCAATTAATTACTTTATTTGGGTTTGGTTACAAATAGAAATATTAGTTGATGACAGATATACTGAAATGATATGAAGCTTAATATTACTTCAAAAGAAAATATCAAGTGCTATAGCATCTCCAGAATGAGTGTAAATACTGTGAATATGAAGTTTGAGATGATTTTGAATCATAATAGCAGTGCCTTTTATAAAAATAGGAAAGTTAGACTAGTAGTAAGTAAAGAAGTTATTGTTATAAAAAAAGAGATTATATTTGTTAAAAATTTTTGATTTTGTGATAATTACAATAAATATGTTATAATTGAGGCAGTAATTCTGCTATGCTTTTCTCTTAGTAAGTTTATTAAAGCCTCTAACATTGTGTGTAGCAATAGTTAGGTTAAGATGATATAAAGTTGAATTTGATAATAATGAAGAAGTATTACAATTAGAGATTAAAGAATAATTATCAAAAAATAAATTAGATGAAATAGAAGTAGGATTAAAGAGATTAGATTTGAGAAGAAGGTTATAGAATATAAGAAGAAGATATGAAGTAATAATAATATAATTTGGTAAAAGAATGTTATTAAAACAATATAGATAGGTTTTATTATAAGATGAATTAACAGAAAATGTAATATTAGATACTGTTTTGTTGTTGTTATATTTACCAATAAGTTGAATTAAAGTTTGAATAGTTTGACCATGAGTGAAAAGTAGTAAATTGTAATGAAAAAAAATTTGTTAAAACATATATAAAGATCATAAATGATTAAAGATGTTATAAATAATCTTTCAAAATTGTCTTCTATAGGGTTGATCACTGCATGCTTGGCTCTCACAACTGTGCAAGGTACCATAGTCTGCCCTGTATATTGGGTTTGACTATTATTATTCTGGCCTTTTACAAAAATAGGCTTGTTTATCTGCCTCTTATTTCATTTTTCTTATTAACTGCAATGGTTGTTTCTTTTAATAAGATGGTGACTACTTCAATATTAATTGTAAAAGACAAAAAACTTAAAAAGAAAAATGTAAAAAAAGTGAATCAAAGATGGAAACTGATTGTAAGTCAAGATTAAATTTTTTTGCTAAAAACTTCTCAGCTGCTGAATAGGCAGTATCATTGAAATATTTTCTAATTTGTAAGTAAGTAGATTTTTGATTTTTGACAACATCAAAGTAGGTAATAATTTGGGTAAAAAATTTGGTATCAATAATGTTTTTTGTTAATAAATTAATTGTTTCTTTCTTGAAAAGAGACTGTATATTGTGATTTTCTGCTGCAGTTTGGTAATATAGTAAAAGGTAGCAGTAAAAGTAGTAATTATAACATTTAGAATTTTGTTTTGTTTATAATCAAAGCCTTCAGCTTGATTAGTCAACTTGTCCAAGGCTTTGGTAAAAATAGGTTTGTCAAGTGAGATAATATATTCTTTGTTTTGTGAAATAGTATATTATTAAAAGTATGATAAATTCATGTTTCATCCTTTTTGGATAAAAATAATAAGCAAGATTTGCTTAGTATGTTATTAAAGAATTTAGTGCTGTTATGGAATTTTTTATCATTGAGATATTGATAAGATTTGTTATTACAAGTGAGGCAATGAAAATTTGTAACAAAAGCCACTTCTTTATATTACTTATAAAGTAAATTAGGTTTTTGGAATATATAGAATTCAGAAAAGTGCTTAGAGAATTAAAGAATAAACTGCTAACAGAATTGAATTTTGAGAGAAGTTTTAACTTTTTCTTTATCAATAATAGAAGAAAATTGTTAACTATAAGAAGAGTAGTAGGTTTCAAACCAAAAATTAAAGTAATCAAAAGAGTTTTTTATAGAGGAATGCAGAATTTTTTAAAATATAGTGTTTTAGAAATATTGAAAAAGAGCTTGATATTAAATCTAATATCTGATTAAATGATAAGATATTTTTGGTTGAGATTGATAGTTTAAATGAAAGATTCAATTTTGAATCTTTTAGATCTAAGTTTTAAATCTTTAGCAAATTTTAAAAATTGATTGATTGATAATTATTAGATAAAAAAAGATGGAATTATGCAAGATTAAGTCAAAGTTGAAGATGATTGTAAGCAATATATAAAGAAATAATAACTGATAAGACAAAGATTTTAAGATAATTAAGTTTTGTAAAAAGAACAGTTATAAATTTAAGTAGTTAGTTTTTAAAAATAGATTCAAGTAAGTTAAATAGAATAGTAATATTTTTGTCAATATTGGGATTGCTATCATAAATGAGATCAGTTAAGAATTCTGATTATTGTTTAGCCATAATGTGAATAATATAATAGAATGAGGCCTTGAGTGCAGGTTGAGTAGAGATAGCTGGTTTAATTTCTTTATTAAGATAAAAATCATAAAGAAATTTTTTGAAAAAAATAAAAAATTAAAGAGAAAATATGGTTTGTAAGTTTTTATTAGGTGCATTTCTTCAGTAATTAAAAAATTTGCAAGCCAATTATATATAGGATTAGATTTTGGTTTGAGTACACTAGAGTATGTTTGAAGAGAAAGTTTGTTAGAGATACTATTAAGTTAATTAGTATTACTAGAATTGTTAAGATTTAAGTTAGAGTTATTAGAAATATTAATAATAGAAAGTTGGTTAAAAATAGGATTAGTATTAGTAGTTTTAGCAAAAAAAGAATCAATAAGATCAGAAGTGATAGAATAAGTTTGGTTTGAGAAGTTAATATTGGATTAGTGGTTTGATTAGATTCTAGTAAAATGTTTTGAAAAGTTTAAGTAAGGTTTTTTAGTTTGAGATGAACTAGCTTCATGCTAAAATGAGGCAGCATATAGGTAGAATAATAAACTTCATTGTTTTTAGTAATATATTTTTCAATAGAATGATAATGCTTATTTCTTTTGGTACAACTAATTGTAACAAAGCATTTTAGACAGAAATAATAATGTACATCAAGTGTAAAAGATAAAAAAACACTGTTACTAAAAGAAGAGATGTTAGATATAAGATCTTGGCTTATTTTGTTGAGTTTGTTAGAGTTGTTATTGATATAAGCAGTAGTAAAATTAGTAGCTTGAATGTGGTTAGTATTGGTAGGTAAGATAAATTTAGTATGATATTTGCCATAAAGACAAGTATTTATAAAGATAAAGAAAAAAGCTTAAAAAAAATATATAATCTTATATGATCTAAAATTTTTTGTTAAACAGAAAGTTGGTTGGATTTTAGAAGAAATTAGATAAGCATTGTTGCTATGTTCTTCTAATAAAAGAGTAATTTCAAAACTGTTAGAGAAGTTTTAGTAACAGTAATTAAGGTCTAAATATCAGGCTTTTAATGACTTAATATAGATATTTTGCAGTATTTGCAGATTAAGTAAGAAGAAAAAAAGATAGAATTAAGACTTAAAGAATTTTGCTAAATAACAAATATGATTGTAAGTATTAAATTTGCAAAGGTAGTAGATAAAAACAAGGGTTGTATTGTAGAAATATTACTAGAGTAGTACTAGAGTGTAACTAGAATAGTTAGAATTACTTATAATATAAATTATTGTATAATATAAGTAAAAACTAAATATAGTAATAATAGATTGTGTTGAATAAATATTTATAAATAGGTTGGTTACAGTAGGGATAGGAATTGATTATCGAAAATCAGATATTTTAAAATTAATTTTAATAATCAATTTTGAAACTAAAAATTGATTAATCAGTTATGATAATCAATTTTGTAATTAAAATTGATTTTGGTAAAGTAATTGATTTTAATATATAAAATTGATTTTTATTAGTGAATTATTTTCTAATTAAGTAATAAGGTAGCTTAGTGTCAGATAAACAAGATATAAATAAAAATGCTATATACTTTGTTTTATTCTGTTCCTAGTATAATTAATACTAATTTGATAATTATTTATTGTTATATATAATATTAAATATTTAATACTAGATTGTATATATGTTTAATTGGTTGCATTATTGTAATTTTATTTATGTAGAAGTTATTTATTGTTAAACAAAATTAAATATAATACTAAATTTGTATATATGCTAATTGTTTTGTAAATTGTAATAATCATCATAACTTACTTATTACTATGGTAAACATTACTATTCATTCTAAGACCTGACAAACTACATTATTATTTACAAATAAAGAGGATTCACATATATCTAAGATATATAAAGAAGATAAAAATTATCATTCTAATAATGATTATATTTGTACTAATAATGAACTTGATAATTTATTAGAAAATGAATTTAATGAATCTGATATAGAATTACAATCTTCTAATAATAATCTTACTTTAATTTATTCATCTAATAATCCTAATTTAGAAGAAAATAATTCATTCATTCCTACTAAAAGAAAAAAAAAATTAACAAGAAAAATTAGATTAAAAAAAAGTTATGTTTGGAATTATTTTAAAGAAACTTTACCTAACATTATTATATATCAATTAACAGGTTGTAGACAAGATCTTGCATATCATCAAAGTACTACTATTATAAAAACACATCTTACTGTATTTTATCATTTTACAAAAGCTACAGTTGAAAAAAATTAAGATTCTTCTATTTTTTAACAATTATTATCAAAAATTTTAAGTAATATTTCAAAAACATTTTATGGTATAAAAAAAACAAAAAGAACTTAATCAATATCTAGTCAAATTTATTGTAAGAACTGTTCAACCTTTACAGTTAGTTGAAGCTTCAGATTTTATTAATTTTTGTAATCAATTAAATCCAAGATATAAGATTCCATTCAAAAAAACTTTAAGAAATAAGATAGATTTTACTTATCATTATATGTTTGATCAAATAAAAGAATTAATTAATAATAGTATTAAATATGTTTTACTTACTTTAGATCTTTGGAGTTCAAAAGCACATATTCCTTATTTAGCTGTTACTTGTCATTGGATTTCTCAAGATTTTGAATCTAAAAATATTCTTTTAAGTATTACAAAATTATCTTATCTATATGAAGCTTCTTAAATTTTAGAACATATTAAAAATTTACTTAAAATATAGAATTTAGAATTAAAAATTATTTCTTTTACAACTGATAATGAAGCAAATATAAAAAAAGCAATCAAAGATCTTGGAATTAGAACTCAAATATTTTGTGCAGCTTATACTTTACAATTAAGCATTAATAAAGGATTAGAAGAAATAAGTGAATTAATAGAAAAATGTAAAAATCTTATTAAATTTTTAGGTAGTGATAAAAAAAGACAACAACTCAGAAAAGCACAATTATATCTTCAACAACAAACATCTCAAGAAATATCTATTTATTAGAAAATAAAAATGATAATAATAATAATAATAATAATGAAGAAAAAGAACCAATATTAGATATTATTAAAGTAAATAATACAAGATGGAATTCTATTTTTTATGCTTTTGAAAGACTTTTATTTTTAAAACAAGCCATTATTACTTTAAAAACTACACTATTTTCTGATAAAAAAACTAATATTTAAAGAGAAGGTATTATTTTAGAATCATTAATTCCAACAAATTTTTTTTTTTTTTTTTTTTTTAAATATTAATGGTGAGGCCATGCCTTTAACTTTATTGAAATTCAATTGAAGTTTTT